TCCATATAGGTGGATTTTAATTTCTAGAGCTCATAGTTGCCCTTTCCTCAGAGCCCTTGTGACTTTTGGAGATTCCCGACCACTTTTCAGTTTTGTGACGTCCATTCAGAGTTGATAGGCTTTTTTTCACCACATCACAACTTTGGGCTCCTTAAATTTAAATATTGGTGACCCTCCTGCAGCCGCACAGATTGCAGGGTCCCTACATATCTTAGCACATGTTCCTCTGACTACTCTGAGATTATTCTTTATTTGTCATTGTCTTTTTATATTATCAAAAGTATACCTGAAGCATTGGATGAATTGTTGTTGAGAAGCCAATTTTTTTCTGTTACTGGTATCTTTAATTTGAGGATGTTAACATTATTTCTTTCTCCGTGGTATTCTTACAACCCTTCTACAGTGACACATGCCTAGTTATTTTGGAAGTTTTAATTTGTTGTAAGGGATTTTAATCTGAAATAAATTAGGCAACCATTTTTATATTTATATTCCGATGTATGTTTGCATCCTATACATCGCTATGATTATGATAAATGAATAAGCAGACTCAATATAATACTAAATACCTAGATAAAAGTTATAAGGTTAGTACTGCTGCACCCAAGTTAGATGATCCGACCACTTCCCTATTACCCATGCCACAGACCACTTCCCCATTACCCATGGCACGGTCCCAGATTATGTGACCTCCTTTAATCTACAAATAGCCTCCATGGGTGGGGAGGGGGGGGGGTAAACCACAAGTTAAAATATATGATGCATTTTGCCTATGAAGTGGCCCCATTTGTCCAGAAAAAAGTACTGGTCAGACCTAAGACTGGCAAAGACTCAAAGACCATGGTTTTGCTGTGGTCTACGCAGGCCAAAGCCAATCACTCCAATGATTTTGCTAGGTGCACCGCCGCAGTATACGCAGACCAAAGTGAATGGTTTGTGCTAGGTACAACGCTGTGGTGTACATAGTGCCAGCCTATAAAATTAATTTGAAAATGAGTCTCTCTTTTTTCGTTTTATTTGATTGTGGTTCACGTTGATTGGGGTCCTTGGATAGTCTCACCCAACATCTCTAGTCAGTTGGGTCAGGTTATGTTAAGGTTCCACAAATAATGTGAAAGATGCAATCAGGACCGTATTCTTAATAATAGGGCTCCGGGCATGCATCTATTAAATTTTCCCGTTGTATGCCCGGTTGCCCATGCCTTAACTGTCTGAAGACTACACTGATTACAATAGTATTTTGTGTAGCTCAACTCTTTCAAGGCATTTCTCTGTTAATTAATGATGTCGTTTATGCATCAAACCACCACCAGTTGTGGATAGGGTGCCATCTTAAGCTGGCTGTCATTTTAACATTAACATATGATACCCTTGGAAAAGTAATAAGTTGAAAAACTTAATAAATGTAAAAAAGACAAATTGATTTATTATTAGACCTTGAAATTTTTATCTTCGTTATAGCAATTGTTCTTTAATCAAAATTCCATTAATGTAGGAGCCAGAATGATCAATTCATTGATCGTGGGCCCTTAAAATAAAGAAGAGAAGATGATTAATAATGAACCTCCTGTACTTTCAAACATGTTTGAACTGATTTGGTAAATTAAAAAAAAAACAACATTCTTTGGAAGTTAAACTTTCTATCTCTGTATGGCATAAAATATTTTCATTTATAATGATTGGAAAATGTAAAGTATTGTTTTGAGAACAGTGCTGAAACCATTAGTTATAGTTGTTATGCTTTTAATTGGAAATCATCAATATTTTATTTGCAGACTCTGGTCCTGAAAGCCAAACTTCAAGAACAAACCACTTCTTTGCCACACCTCCAGGCCAGATGGCAATGGTAAGACACAGTCCAGCTACTCAGACATCGACCAGGCCATCTTGGCCTGCTGCACCATCATCTTCTCCACCAGATGTCGATGACACAGTGAGCCATTCAGCCACAGCTAGTAAGTCTTGTTAAGGGATTAAGTGGACATCTTATCCTGGAAAGAATAAGTTATTGAAATAGAAATGTTAGTTTTTACCATTGGTATGAAAAGGCTAAATTTTCAATAAAAGAAAAAATACTTACTGGTGTTTCGTTGAAGCAGCTTGTAGTATTCATTTTTAGTCTCACAATTTTCAACACTGACCCAAAATGATTAAAGATCTCTTTTTAAAATATATATATATATATATATAAAAATTGCAGCTATTGAAATTTGATATAAGTATAACATAACTGATTATTCTGACTATGTGAGTATGATCCAACATGGGTGATTATTCCATGACTCATATTTAGTTCAGTGGTAACAAAAGGGTTAATTGACATAGGCTTTAAAAAAATCATTACCTTGCCTTGTATTGTGAGTTATTTAATTATTCTATTATTTCAGACCTTCATGGAGCTATTGGAGAACACAGACGCACAAGTCGTTCCTCCTCAGTTTCATCAGGTGGGTCTAGCACTAACAGCGCTGATGGACTTGAATCCACCCGCCAGCAGACCCAAAGTAGGCTTTCCCTGGCTCTCCAATCTCACCCATCTGTTCAAGATTCATCATTAGATCATCAAGTATCCATTTTACAGTCCACACTGCCTATGAATGGGAACCATATAGATAAGAAAGATCTCCCTGAACCTAAACAGGTAAATTTAATTTTACAATAGCTATTTAATGAGATAGAAATTGGCTAAGGGGCTGTCCATAAGGTATGTCACACTATTTTCAGACAATTTTTACCCCCCCCCCCCCCCCCCCCCCACACCCTTTTTT